GTAAATTACCCATTTTTGTATAGGACTGTTGGGTTTTCTTATTGGTTTGTAAGAGCTCTTTACATATTAAGGATAATATTCTTGTCTGTGATATTTGTTTCACAGATTAAACACCCCTGTCCTCCCATCAGTTTGTTGTTTGGCTTTATTGGTGATGAGATTTACCCCCAGCCCCATATAGAAGATTTCTGGGTTTGTAATCAGATTTATTGGTCTTTTCCTCATACCTTATGGGTTAAGTAGCATACTTAGAAAAACCTACACTAAACAGAAGGGGCCACTTGCCACATGTTCCAGATAACCAAGGCTTGACTGTATTTAGAATCTGTGCCCAGGGGCTGGCCCAGTGGCATAGTGGTTAAGTTTACATGCTCTGCTTCTGCGGCCCGAGGTTCGCAGATTGGGATCCCAGGCACAGTCCTACACACCACACATCAAGCCATGCTGTAGTGGTGTCACACATAGAAGAACTAGAAGGACCTACAACTAGGATATACAACTATGTACTGGTGCTTTAGGGAGGAAAGAAAAAAGAGGAAGATTGGCAACAGATGTTCACTAAGGGCCAATCTTTCTCACCAAAAAAAAGTAATGAAAAAGAATCTGTGCCCATTAGAGCTGGTCCTATAAAGTAAGAAGGTGGGATTGTATCTGATTTTTCTTTTGTTCTTTGTTATTTTGGGGACACCTTCCTTTCTCCTTGGAGGTAAGATAATGAACTGGAAAACCATGCCAGCCCCCTGCCTCCCTCCTGGCAGGTTCTGCATGGCATATAGAGCTTGTTTGCTGACTGCAGTAAAAAAACAAGTTTGGGGGAACCGCAAAACTGGTAAAACAAGAAAGGTAATTTTGGGGCAGGGCTGCCTTCTGTGGGATAGGTGAGGCCGCATAACCTGCTAGAAATGCGTCCTGCTCCATCTAGAGCAGGGGCCAGCTAGAAAGGCCACCATGTGCTTAGGGATTAAAATCTATCTTCTGGTTTTCCTGCCAGAGTTCTCTCACTTTTGTTGAGTTCACACCGATGGGAATATTCTAGACAGCAAGGCGAGGGAGTGGTGGAACCAGACTTGCCTTTGCAGTTGTGTCTGAGTGCCCGGCTCTCGCTGTGTGACCCTGGGTGAGTCACTTGGCTTTTCTGGGCCTAGCGGCCTTGGACTGCACTGAGGACAAACAGAAGTCCAGAGCCTTCCGTGGGTCAAGTGGGAGCAGGTGTCAGCTCAGCTGCTCCTGGAGCGCCCCTGTTCACACAGCACCTCTGGGCTGTGGAAGGCGAGGGGGCTGAGCCCAGAGGCCGCTCGCAGACGCTGCCAAACCGGCTTCACAGTGCACATTTTATGTGTACACAGAGATGCGTTTCCTGCCGGCTGCTCCCCTGGAGCCAGCGTGGACGTGGGTTCCGGGGATGGCGCTTCTGCCCCCTCCCTGCTCCAGAAGTGCCCCCTGGGCCCTGCGGCCGTGCCGCACAGTTGAGCAGAAGATCTGACCCTGTGTACGGGTGGCCACAGCGTGCAGTAACAGCTGCTGGGCTGCTGACCGCGGTGGCCTCGTGACCCACCGCGCACCGTCAGGAGAACACGACAAACGACCAGCCTCCCCCGGCCCCTGGCAGGGCCGCTCAGAACCGCACAGGGGCTGTTCGCAGAGCCAAGGAAGCTGGGTAACATTCCTCTGCGTCTCTAAAATGCACATTGAATGACCTGCATCCTTGGGAGAAGATAGTACACCACCGTGCGTGGTTGATGGCGCTCTGTTACCGGGCCCCCGTCTCCTCTCCTCTCCGTGGATAGCTTGCCTCGGAAGTCAGCCTGTCGCAGTCAGAACAGTTGCTGCCAGCGCGCACAGACGCCTCTGCCCTCACCGCAGCCCTGCGGGGGAGCTCCTGCTAGCGTTCTCATTTACAGGCGGGGAAACTGAGGCCCAAGCCCCGTCCCATGTTCTCCATCATGTTGATTGGATGGGGGCTTAGAACCAGTGCTTTGGGTCAACCTGGACTATGAGAAAGTGGATAGAAAAAGTGCCTGGCAGGAAATACACCTCGAGGCTTACGTTGCCCACAGTCCGTTCACCCAGCACGCCACAGGTGTCGTCCAGGCACCCACTGGAGCCCGGCCCCATGCCAGCAGCTGGGGCCACTGCGGGCACCGAGGCGACCTGGTCCCTGCCCTCCGAGCGCACATCTGTGGGGGAGACAGATGGAGAACAGAGGGTCACACGTGTAACTACAATCGCTGTGACAGTGAAACGGAGAAAAAGTACAAGGAAGAAATATGACTTGATGAGCAAGAGAAAACCTGATATTTTTTCCAACATTTTATATGAAAATTTTCAAACAAGCCAAATTGAAAGAATCTGACCGTCAATATTCGTACACCTGCCACGTGGATTCTACCATTAAGATCCTACTCTACCAGCTGTCCCCCCAGCCGTCCATCAGTCCACCTCATCATATCTAGGGACGTTATTGGAAGATGAGGATGGAAAGCCATCGGCTGAGCTGAGGAACGGCCTCTCCTTGGGGGATCGTCCCCACGCAGCCCATCCATGGCACCTGCATGGCCCCTGGGAGGGCAGCACTGGCGACCCCTGGCTGCACTGTCAACAGGAAATAGTCACTAGTGGAGGACAATCTTGGCCCTCTTGCATTATTATTTAAGTCTAGAACGCGTTGTCCTTTGGGGGGGCCAGAGATTAGTGTCTGGGGAGAGGACACATTCCAGGGCTAGCAAACTGCACGACCTCCCCACATTTGCCTCTGCAGGATGAGGTCAGTGATGCATCAGGCAAGATTAAAGGGTGGGATGGAGTAGTTACCTTGTTAATGCCTTTGGTGGGCCCATCTGGGAGGCCAGAGCACCCAGGGTTAGGTGGGACAAGCCACTTGTAACCCCAGCCCAGCCCCTCTGAGCTGTTCCTTGTGGTTACCTGGTAGAAGCTCCTCCGTGGCCCCGTGGCGGGAGATTTGCCCCCACCAGAGTGGGAGAGGGGCCGAGCACAGCAGGGCGAAGGGGCAGTCCCGGCCCCACGAGGGGCCTCGGTTAGGAAGGAGGAGAGTGGAAGGTGGCAGGGGGCACAGGCTGAGTGCATTCCACCCAGTGAGGTTCTGGGGGACCTGGGCTTCCAAGACAGCTTGGTAACACCGGGCGGACCATGGAGCTTGACTCTAGTAATAATATGAAGCCTTGAAAATGGTCAAAGTCCATTTACCATGTGTTCATGCGCTGGGGGCTCTGCTAATGTGATCAATGCACGATTTCTAATTCCTGCAACAACTCTGTGAAATAAGTACTATTAGGGCCCCGTTTACATGTGAGGAAACTGAGGCACACAGAGGCAAAGAGACTCGCTCAGCTGGGGAGGGGTTGGGCCAGGATTGAAACCCCGTCAGTCTGCATCCCTCACCCAGCTTCCTTCCTCTGGTTACGGGCTAGTTCATTTATAGTGTCTCAGGCTGTTTCCCCAAAGCATCTCCTTTAACAGCTGCGATTAGGATGTTCCATATGGCCAGTCAGGTGTGCTGGGTCACCTTGGGTGGAATTCAGCCCACAGACGGCCCTCCCCCAGTTCCCTACTCCCGTGCGGTCAGTTGGTGCATACTGAGGCCCCTGCCGGGCAAGGGGAAGCTGGCCCGGGTTTCCCTCCTGTGGGTTTGGTACCCGCCTGTGGCCTGCTTGGGCGTCTGTCCCCTGAGCTCTGTGTCAGGCGTGGCGGGTCTCTGGACTCAGCAGTGCAGACAGCGAGAAGCGCTGGGGAGGCACCGTTGTCTGTCTGCAGGCTCTGAGGGCGAAGTCCATGCTGAGCCTGCTCGGGAGACAACCGGCCATTCCCGGCGTGTTTCCTCGGTGCCGAGCCCTTAGCGAGGCGCTCTGACCCGTGGGATGTCTCTGGGCCTCGTGACAGCCTGCCAAGGGGGTCACGGAGGAGGGAAAGGAGCAGAGGAGGCCGCAGGCTGCTCGCATGTCACGCGGAGCCCTGGAAGCCCAGGCACTGCCCGTTTCTAGGTCTACATTTCATCAACTTGAGGTCATCACCCACTTTAAAATGCACCGCTATTTTATGAACCACCGAGAAACGAAAAACAATGAAGAGCATTCCGATCCCAGAGAGAAACAAAATGTGTGTCTTGGGAGTGGGTCGTCCTTGTGGCACCCTGTCATTGGCTCTGTTGCGTCACTTGCTAGATGGGAAACCTGAGGCTCAGAAAGCGGGAGGAGGGAGGTACCAATGCCCCCACGGCCAGTGCGTGCAGAGTGGGCGGTCTGCCCCAAGCTCACCGTGCTCCGCGCCCCGGCTGTCCTGGGCTGACTTTTAGGCCCTCGATCAGAGGCCGGGATCCCCTTGCTGGTGTGCTCCCGGGCTCTTACGCAGTCTCAGGACCATGGGGCCTCTGGGGCAGCAGCTCATTTCTTCCTTGTGACCTGGTGCCTGAGAAGGTCATCTTTAGTGACTCTGGCCCCTCTCCTCCTGTCTCCTGCCCAAGCTAGTTCATTAGCGGTGACCTGCCTTGTTGGCCGGGATGGGTTTCTCACAGCATTCGTTCTGCCAGATACTATGCAGCTGTGCTGTCCAATACGGTACCCAATTTAAGTTCAAACGAATGAAAGTTCCGTAAAATTACAAATTTACATTCGCCACATTTCAGGTGCTCAATAGCCACACGTGGCCCGTAATGGAGATGCAGATACAGAACATTTCCATCGTTGCAGAAAGTTCTACTGGACAGTGCTGTCCTAGGCAGAACTTTTGCGGACAAAAGAGTTTGCCCCCTAGATAGTCCAGTTGCATTTTAAAGGCTCTGACAAGTCCTGCAGTAAGAAAATGGTCTCACCTGGAGCCCAGCGCTCCAAATTTTTCCCCCCCCCGAACCTTTTTGCCACCTGTAAACAACTCCGCCTTTCCCTAGACACACCAAGTGACCTCCCCTCCTGTCCCCAGGCCTCCGTGGCGGTCCCGAATATCACCCTCCTTGGGAATCTAAATCTCTCTTCCCTTCTCTTGCCCAGATTGCCTCGGGTCCCCAGTGTTTACTCCCATCAAGGCGGACATAAGTGGCAACATCACGGTACGTACGTGGCCCGGCAGCCCTGGTACCTGCGTCAGGCATCTAAACCTGCTTGGCACGGTGCCCTGCCCCCCGCTGTGGGCCCCAGGCCAAGGAACAGGAGGGAGACGTGGATAACAGCCTCGACTCCGGCTCCTCTGACTTGGGGCTTGGGCTTCTTGGTCCCTGCCGTCACACCATCGGGTCACAGCCTCACAGGGACCACAGTCTGAAGGGCCGACCTGAGAAGGAACCTACTGGTTCTTGCATCCACTCCAACCACATAAGAAGTAAACAGCACAGTCCACGAGGGCGTTGGCCCGGCCCTTCCCTTCCCCAGTCCTGGGAGCTGCGATGCCACCCGCAGCCACTGGCCCTCTCCCGTGAGGATCCACTTAGGGCCGGGTCTGGGCTTGGGCGCATTGCATGGTCTCATTTCTTCACCCCAGCAGCCCTTGGAGGCTGCTGCTATCATCATCCCCATTTTACAGATGAGGAAGCTGAGGCCCAGAGGGGTTGAAGGACCCATTTAAGGTCACACAGCAGAGAAGTGGCAGAGGTGCGATTCAGACCCCAAGTGCCTGGCCCCAACTCAGGAGCCTTGTCCCTGGACATCTTTGAATCCTAAAAGCCTATTTCTACTTGTCCACAAAAGCGAAACTTCAGATACGTGGTGTCTGAGGCGCTGTCAGTGGTTGGAGAACGTGGACTGTGGAGCCGGCCTGTGCTGGAACCTGCTCTCACCTGGACCAGCTGTGTGACCTCGAGCATGTCACTTCCCCTCTCTGTGCCTCAGTTTCCTCATCTGCAAATTGGGATAATGACAGAGCCACATCGGGGTTGCTGTGGGCACCAAATAAGGAGCGCCCGTGGAGCACGGTGCCCGTTGCCTCGCGGGAGGTGCTCGATGGTTGTGAGCGGTCACAGAGGGCATGGTTCCCCCCAGCCCACTGCCGCTCCTCGTGCTGGGGGAAGGAGAGGAAGGCCCGGTGTCTGCCCCTCCGCCCCGCGTGCGGGCCGGCCGGCCATGGGACAGCCTTTCCAAAGGGAAACCCCGTGTGCTCCATTTCAGAAAATCAAAGCTGTTTATGACACCAACCCAGCCAAGTTCCGGACGCTGCAGAACATCCTGGAGGTGGAGAAGGAAATGTACGGGGCACAGTGGCCCAAAGTGGGGGCCACGCTGGCGCTGATGTGGCTGAAAAGGTGATGGGCGCGGGGGGCAGGGCGCATGTGGCTGTTGGGCCTGGGGGAACAGGCAATCCTGTCACCGCCCCCGGCATCTGCTCTGCCAGTAAGCAGATTTCTTCCACACAGGCTCTCTTCTGTGTGAGGCTAGTTAGTGGCTGGGAAAAAGCACCCCAATACCCAGGCCTGCCTGATGGTGACGCGTCCTTTTTCAGTGCCATCAGAGGCAGAGCAAGTGAGCGCATCCTCTGTGCGCTGTGCTAGGCTCTTTATACGCCCCAATGCATGTCACGCACCGTGAGTTAGGGGTGGTGATTATCCCCATCTCACAGGGGGCCACTGGGGCTTCTAGATGCCAAATCATGTGCCCAGGTCACAGGGGCAGAGCTGGGACTGAGTGGCCAAGCACAGTTGTGCAGGTTGTGCACTGCACAGAGGTGTCCTGTCTAGGGCTAGTCACATCACACACGTGGTAGATTTGTATATTATGGCAGTTTCTTGACAGAAATACAGCATCTTAGGGGGAGGAGCTTTTATCTGACATGAACAGATTCGTCCTGTGGGCTGGAGGCAGGGTACCCTGATAGAGATCTGAACCCAGACAGGCTCACCCCAGAGTTGTCACTGCTCATAACCACTCTACGTATTGTCCTCGTAATTGTTTGTGAAGCCCCAAACAATTGTTCCATCTGACAGATGAGGCTGCTGGCTCAGAGAGGCCAGGCAGCTTGCTCGCTGAGCTACAGAATTCTCCTTTAGCCGTGCGGCCACCACATCCTCCAACAGCCGCTGTGAAGTCAGGGACCCATTCTCTGCCCCACAGATGTCCCCAGTGTTGCCCTCTCTCTAGGGCTTGGAGCCAGGAGGGGTGTTCCTCCCCGTCTCTCTCCCCGTCCCCGGAAGCTAGCCCCCAACCCCTGTCATCCGCTTCTTTGGTGAATGGAACAGGGAGAGTCTGCTCCCCGGAGGGTGCGGCCGGGTGGGCATCAGGGGGCAGCTGGGCCATAATTAACACCCTCACGGCGTGTCTAGGAATTGCCCCCACCAAGCTGCCCACCTTTGTCAGCACAAGACTCCTGGGCCCAGAATGAGCAATGGCCCTGGGTCTGTCCATCGGCAGTTCTGGGGGTTCTCAGGAGGAGCAAGGCAGATGGTGATGTCAGATCAGTTAGACCGTTCGTGTCCGGATCAGACATGACTCGGACCACGGGATGCCCACCCGCTGTGTGCTGGGCGTGGTGCTGGGCGTGTGGGAGGCCCCACTGAATGAGCCACAGCCCCTCTTAGGGTGTCAGGCTGAGGGGTAGATCCTGACAGCAGGATAGCAGAGCCCGGGGCCCAGAGAGGTCAGGGAGGGCTTCCTGGAGGAGGGACTCCAGGCAGAGTCTCCAAGACTGAGCAGGAGGGTCCCAGGAGGACGGCCTGGCAGAAGTGGGAGGGCAGGAGGGCACGGTGCGTCTGCAGCTGCAGGAGGGCCTGGTCCAGCCAGGGCTCTAAGTGCAAGGCGGGAGCAGGGAGAGACGAGGCAGGATTGCACAAGGACGAGCGCCAGCCTGGTCAGGGCTCCCGGGGAGCCACTGAGGGGCCCAGAGCTGGTCAGCAGCAGGGTCGGATGGGGCTTGAGAAGGAATCATCACAGCGGTTGGGGAGAGGCAGGGGTGCTGGGAGGCGGCCATCCAGGGCAGGGCTGGCACTGTATCCCATGCTTGGTTCCACAGCCCAGGCTGATCCCTGATGGCGGAGGGTTCTGATGCGAGCGTGGAGGATTTCCGTCACCTCGTAGGTGATGACGTTGAGACCTTGAATCCTTAGGCCCAGCACCCCTTCCCCTAAGAGCCCCCCAACCTGACCCTCACCCCCCGCAGGGCGGGAGCAGAGCAGCTCATCCAGGGACCCCAGGGGGACAGTGAGGGACAGTGAAGGCAGCAGCCCAGCCGTGGGGTGAATCGGGCTGGTTCACATCCTGGCCTCTGAGTCTTTCAGGGGTGCTTCGGTGTTCTTCTCTGTGAAATGGGTGGGTCGTGCCAAGCTGAACCTCACGGGGCTGAGGGGCCGCAGATGAGACGATGTGGATTAAAGGGCTGGATGGATCTGATTTTCGATTCGGTCACCCTGCCATACCCCGTACCCTCCTCCTGGCTCTTGAAGTATTGTCCTACCCCTGGAGGAAGGGCTCACGTGGCCACTGGAGGATCCAGACCGTGGCTCGGGCAGTGGCAGAGGCGGGGAGCCCGGGCCTGGGCCAGGCTTGTCAGCATATCCACGTCTGTGGCCCATGAGCCCTATGAGGGCCAGCGCTGTGGCTTCAGTCCTCAGGCACTGATGGCCACCTGCCACATGCTGGCCCATGGAAGGCCACGTGGCCACGGATACGGGCAAGGCCCTTGTAGACCCTACAGCCCAGCAGGGACCGTGGTCAGGAGCTGGCACCAGGCCTAGTGTAGACAGCCGGGTGGGACAGGCTGTGTCGAGCTGGGCAGTCACATTACATTTAAGCCGAGTGTAGAGAGAACCGCTGAGGGGTTAGCGGCGCCTCTGTGTGGACGTGCCCCTGGCCCGCGCTAGGTGCTGAGTTCCGAGTGCGTGAGGGTCCCCCACGCGCGGGAGCGTGCAGCACCCTAAAGAGCCGTCTCCTCTCGGGCCGCAGAGGCCTCCGCTTCATCCAGGTCTTCCTCCAGAGCATCTGTGATGGGGAGCGGGACGAGAACCACCCCAACCTCATCCGCGTCAACGCCACCAAGGCCTACGAGATGGCCCTCAAGAAGTACCACGGCTGGGTGGTGCAGAAGATCTTCCAGGTGAGCCCCCACAGGCCCAGGACGGCCACCCGGGGGCAGGGTCCACTCCCGCTGCCCGCGCCCCGCTCCTTAGCTGTGGCCCCTCGGAGCCTGTGTTGGCTCAGCGAGGGCTGCCCTCTCTCTGCCAGCTGCACCCGTGGCCATGGCCTGAGATCTGGTGCAGGTTCTGTGGTGTTTCTGTCGGGGTGCCTTGTCCCGGGAGGCCCGACTGGAGGGCGTGGGGGAAACCAGGCAGAGGCTCCGAGGACCTCAGGTGGATGGTGGGCTGGCCTAACTGGCCCCCGTGATTCGGCCCAACCCTCACCCTGGGCAGGGATAGGAAGGGGGGCCCCTGTGCCCACTGAGGCATCTGCTGAAAGGACACTGGCCCACAGGGCTCTTGGTGGCTTGTTAGGTGATGATGGCCAGGGTTCCAAGAAACAGGGCTTCAGAACCACCCTTGACCTGAGAGGCTCCAGGGTCACCAGGCTGGAGGCTCACTCAGGAGACGTCGAGAGGCCCCCGGGTGCCCTCCACACTGTCACTGGCCACCCCGCCTCTCGCTGCCCCTCGTCTCATCCAGCCTGTTGTGGCCACTTTCTCCTGCAGCCACCACCCCCTGCCCAGCCTCACTCCCGTGGGGACCGCAGTCCCATGGGCCAGTCTCTTTCCCACACGGCACAGGTCGTGGGCAGGCTGGGCTGGGAACCGTCCAGTCCAGACAGGAAGAGCCAGTCACCGGGCGGGAAACATGGCCACCTCTGGGCCGTCCGCCCTGGCAGGGCTGGGGACAGGGCCCGTCCCAGGGGGCACCGTGAAAGCACGCCCTACTCCTGCAGAGCATCGCTCCCTCCGGAGGCCTCAAACCGCCACCTTCGAAATCGAGGCTATTACTATTTATATTCTTAAATATAACAATCATAACAATATGCCATTGTTATGATTATTTTTTGTAATTCCCTCACCCTGTCCAACTTGTGGCCTAAGCTGTTGATCCAGCTGCATCCTTTCCCTTCTGGCTCTTAGTTCTGCGAGTTTCTGATGCTCTGGACTCTTCAAGTGTCGGGGAAGCCCTGAAGTTCAGGGGAGGGTCGCCCCCTGAAGGACAGAAGAGGCCACAGCTCGGATGAGCGGGCCCAATCTTCTCCCCTGCTCAGAAAGGGCGTTTTCCGAGCCGGCAGTTCACCTTCTCCAGAGCAGGGACCCCAGAGGGAAGAGGCTCATCCACGCTGAGCACCTACTGTGTGCCCAGTGCTGTGCTGAGCACCTACTGTGTGCCTGGGACCCTGCTGAGCCCTTTGCACAACCTCCTTAATCCTTACAAAAGCAACCCAATTAGGTGGGTGCTATTATTATCCCCATTTTACAGATGAGGAAACTGAGGCTCAGAGAGGCTAAGTAACTTGCTCAAGGCTCACAGCTAGTCGGCGGCACAAGCTGGAATTTGAACGCAGGTCTGTCTGTCCCCAAAGCTGGTGTCCTTCCTGCTGTCCCTCACGGGGGTAGAAGGGAACACACATCGCCCATTGCCTCCTCCCTGCCCTTCCAACGCCATGAGCAGCACCGACCCCTGCCCAGCACAGACCTCGGGAAGTCCCCCCTGGACCCCGCCGTGCCCACCCGGCTCAACCGCCCGCCCCTCTCTGCCATCCCCAGGCAGCGCTGTACGCGGCGCCCTACAAGTCCGACTTCCTGAAGGCGCTCTCCAAGGGGCAGGCGGTGACGGAGGAGGAGTGCCTGGAGAAGACCCGCCTCTTCCTGGTCAACTTCACGGCCACCATCGATGTCATCTACGAGATGTACACCAAGATGAACGCCGAGCTCAGCTACAAGGTGTAGGCGCCCGGCGGGGACAGCCGCCCACACGCGGCCACTCGCGGACCCGGGCCAGCCCGGATCACTGTGAATCGCAGGGCCGCCCTTGGCCCGCACACCCCGGAGCAGCGGGGGGCTGCCTGGGGGCTGCAGGGGACGGTCCTGGTTTTTTAAAGTCATTTTGGGGTCTATCATAATGGAGCAATAATTAACCATCCTACTTCTGAATCTTCTTTGAATTTCACAACAACACAGACCTTCGTTCCCGTGTGGTAAAAGTCAATTAATTTTTCTAATAAATCACGTCCTAGGGTTTTTGGGGTTCTCCCTGTGTGAGCATGACTCTGTGGGGACAGTGTCATACACCGCACTTTCCTTATGAGGATCTGGCAGAATGATGTTTTGGGAATTTTAAGGACTATGAAGACTTTGATTTAAAATTATACAAGACCCCGATTGCGGGATTTTTTTTTTTTTTTAAAGCAAACTGGTGTGTGTTCTGTGGTTCACACAGCCCAGCCTCAGAGCACTGTCATCACAGATCCGTTCTTTCTCACTGTCTTTTGCCAGACAGTCTTTTTATAGCTGAAACCAACCAGCAAGCCTTTGATGATGGGGGTGGGGGTGGGGGGGTGAGTATTTTAAAGCTATCGGGCACAAATTACTGACTGAAGATGACTGTGTGCATTCTTCTGCATAATTATCTTCTTCAGGGATAGCTTTTCCAACCTAAGAAACTACCTACCACGTGTGTTCTCTCAAGGGGCAGAGGAGGAACTCTCCAGCTGCTCAGACCCAAGAGAATGCGTCCTTGTTGCCTTAACTGTCCTTACTGGCGCTAAAAAGAGCTGTATTTTTTAACGTTGGGGCAAACAAAGCAACTCCAAAAGAACTGATGTGTGTTAAAAACCCAATGAGGAACAATTGGTGATTTTTATGGAGAAACTAAATAATCCTTAATAAAGAAATCTCTATTTTGGAATCGCATTGGTGTGCTGTTTTTGGTTCTTGATTCTCTCTCTTTTTTTTTTTTTCCTGGATCAGAGGTTACAACTGAAAACCAGCCAAGTACCTGTTTTCTGGCCTCCACGGTTTAAGAAAAGAGAACTAGTTGCCACATTGAGAAACTGGGGAACTTTTACATAAAAATCTTCATGGCAGGGCCGGCCCCATGGCCGAGTGGTTAAGTCCACGTGCTCTACTTTGGTGGCCCAGGGTTTCACCAGTTTGGATCCTGGGCATGGACGTGGCACTGCTCATCAGGCCATGCTGAGGCAGCGTCCCACATACCACAGCTAGAAGGACCCACAATTAAAAATATACAACCATGTACCGGGGGGATTTGGGGAGAAAAAGCAGGGAAAAAAAATCTTCATTGCTAGCTTCTTTTGAAAAATCAGACTGCCTGGCAGGAACTGAGAGATGACTGCCCCCTTGGCTGGAGAGGGCGAGTCAGTGGATGTATTCGTCACTTTGCCTCAGTCCCCACCAATCCCTGTTGCCTCCCCAATCCAGTGAACCATGGTTATTTGCACTTTATCATGGGCTGATGCTTTTTCTGATACTAAGGTTAAATGTAGAGGGAATATTTATTTTACTTCCTTCCTGCTCCTACAGAGCTGATAGTCTAGTGGGCAAGAGGGATCAGTAAATCAGTGGTGACAACAGAGAGTGACCAGTGTCCAGAGGAAGCCTGGGGCCACAGATGAGGGGCCACGTCCTCAGTGGACAGAGAGCCTCAATGGGAGGGGTGGGGTGGGCAGAGCCTGGCTGAGGAGGAGGGGCAGGGGACACTCCAGGGCACAGATAAAGACCTGGTGGCTTGACCCAGAGCAGGCTGTGTGTGTGAGACATCATGAGACCAAAGGATTTGAACTTGACCCTGAAAATTACACACCACCTTCAAGGGTCTTGTGCATCATCAGTCAGATCCCCAGTTGGAAAGGCTCCCTCTGGCATGGCCAAGGGATGGACGCCTGAACCAAGTTTTTTTTTATTTTATTTTTCCTTTTTCTCCCAAAGCCCCCCAGTACATAGTTGTATATTTTAGTTGTGGGTCCTTCTAGTTGTGGCATGTGGGATGCCGCCTCAACGTGGCCTGACAAGCGGTGCCGTGTCGGCGCTCAGGATCTGAACCAGTGAAACCCTGGGCCGCCGAAGCAGAGCGCGCGAACTTAACAACTTGGCCATGGGGCCGGCCCCTGAACCAAGTTTTTTGCTGTCTCTGATTTCCTTGTAGTTTCTAATATTGCTGACAGTAGGAATGCTACTGACCTAAGCTCTCACTGCTTTTTAAGTTTTTTTCCTTTTGGGCTTCCTAGAAATATAAAACTCTGCCAACAAATTAAAAAAATTCTGTATCTTCCTTTACAAAAGGAGCTTTCCTTCGTGTCTCGAACGTAACACAACGAGACTGGGAGGGCAATTTCTTTGCGGAAGGCTGGGATTTCCCCAGGACGGCCTCCTTTACTCCTGGTGCCTGCCGGGCCCCTGGGAGCATTTGGGGTTTCCACCCCAGGGACAAAGCCAGCAATGCATCTATGCCTTCCCCTTTCATCCTTGTCAAAGTGGAAGTGGGTTCTGCCTGGGGCAGGGAGGAAGGAACATACATTAAGCACCAGCTGCATACCAGGCCCTGCACAAGTGCTTCACACACTTCGTTTCACAACCGCCCTGAGATGTGGGCATCAAGAGCCCCATTTTTCATATAAGGAAACTGAACCCACCGGGGGCGGGGCAAGAGGACTTGGCGAGGGTGACCCAGCCAGGAGAGGGGGCACGGGGTTTCGCATCAGTCTCCGAATCTCCCCTCAGCCGTCCGCTTCTGTGCCAGCTGACAGAGGGAGCCCACCTTCCACCCACCCTCCTGCCAGGACGGTCCCACTGTGGAAGCTGCTGTCTCGGACCCAGGTTAACCTGACAGTGCACAGAAACCCGAATGAGCCCAAAAGTCTGACAAGGGTTGACTCGTTTATTCCCTTGTGGATTCATCCAGTTAAACCTCACTGAGCAATGGTTCCAATCATTATAACACATCTCCGCGACAGACAAGGAAGTGAAGCTCCCTTCTCCATAAAGAAGCCTGTTTCCTTTTCCGTACCACAGGGTTCTTGCTAAAACCCACCTCACAGGTTGAGGCTGAAATGTTACTATTTGCAAAGCGTGGAAGTGTTTGAAGCATAGCAAGCTGTCTTAGTAAGCGTTCAATAAAACCGCACGATATATTCACGTGATGTGGGTTGCATGGGGATGTGACGGAGTATTGGAGTCCTAGCGCTGATATTGACTAGCTGAGCGGCCTCGGACAAATCACTTCACCTCTCTGAGCCTCCGTTTCCTCACCTGCACAAAGGGGATACTTACTAATGGCTCCCAGCTCACTGAGCGTCCATGAAATTGCCTGGGCAGGTGCTTGGCTGCATAATCATTCAGTGTTGACCCAATTATCACCATTTAAAGAGGGTTATGGGAGAACGGAGGAGGAACATCCACCTTGGGTTTGGTTGGTTGCGTTGATGGGTTTGCCCTGATTCACGCCGGCCCGGCTTGGGGTGGCGCATCCCTACCGCCCCGCGCCTGCGCACTGGCCGCCTGCAGCTCCTGCGAGGCCCGGTAGGTGGCGCTGTCGACACTGCGCCCGCGGGCGCCTCCGCACCCCCGGCCTCCAGCCCGCGCCCTATGTGTGTGTGCGCGTGTGTGCGTGTGTGTGTGTGCAGATCGGCCTCTGTGTCAAAGGGGGTCCTGCTGTTTTTACCACTACCACTGCTGCTGCTAGTGCTACCACTGCCAGCGCCAGCGCCACCACCACCAAACGATTTTGGGGTTCAAGTCCAGGGTCTGTAGCTTTGTAGCTCTGTGATCCAGGGCAAGTCAGTGAACCACTCTGAGCCTCAGTTTCCACACCTGTAAAATGGGACAGGAACGCCTCTACCTTGCAGGATTACATCAAATAATGTCTGTAAAATGCCTGACACAGAGAAGTGTTCAAGAAGCGGCTTTTATTAATATGTTTAACTATTACGATGCTGCAGCTTATCAGGGGTTCCTCGGGGGGCGCCCCAGCCCTGAATGCAGTTGAACCATAGCAGGCTCCCTTACTCCTTGTTCTTAAAGATACGCAGCACCCCTGTCAACACGTCAACAGCAGCCGCCCAGACCATGTCGTGCAATCTGGCTGCTATTCCTCACCCTGCCCTGATCCATCGTGTGACTCTGGGCAAGTCCCTTCTCCCCTCTGGGCCTCAGTTTCCTCATCTGTAAAATCAGAGGGTTGGACAGTTCAAAGGGCCCCCGCAGCTCTGACCCTCCGCAGTGGACACTCCTGTCACTGTACCAGCCCCTGGTTTGTATCCATAATTCCAGTGAAGTCAACGCTCTATCCACAAGCAGGGACTTCGGTCTGTCCTTGTGACATCTAAAAAAAGCACTTAACACAGGACAGGGCACCTACAGGATACTGGATAAAGGGCACCTCTGAGGGTCGTTAACCCTTAATCGGCCCTCTGTCCAGCCCAGAGAGGAGTGTCTGGAAGGCAAGTCGTTCAACGCCTGTTTGCTGAGCACCTACTCCATACGAGGCCCAGGGGGTCCTGCAGGGACAGGACGGGGAAAGCCCCACATCCGAGGGCCCCGGTCCACCAGAAGAGATTCAGATGGGGGAGGGTGGGAGGGCCTCTCTGAGGAGGTGATGTTTGAGCCGAGATCTGAACGGGGAGAAAGAGCAAGCCATGCCCAGAGGCTGGCTACAGCTAGTGCAAAGGCCCTGAGGCAGGAGAAAAAGCAGCAGTTCTAAGGATAGTGAGAGGCCAGAGCAGCGGAGCCTGGAGATCAAAGGGGAAGAGAGTGAGGGACAAACCTAGAGATACCAAGGCCAGCGTGAGCTTGGTTTTCGTTCTAACAGCAGGGGAGGACGTAAGCCCCTTTGAATAGAGGGAGACAAAGTTCACAAAGCAATTAGCTAGGATCTCTGGGTCCCTTCCCGGGACTCAGAAAAGGCTGTCTCCCCACCCCCGCCTCTGCCTCTTCCTGGCTGGGAAAATGGAGCCTTCGTCACCTATGTGTGTGTGAGGGGGGGGCCAGGCCTCTGGGTGTCAGGGGCCTCTCTCCAGAAGGTGCTCGTTCACCCACTCATGATTCCATTCACCATTCCATGGATCCCCAGGAGCCCACCCAGGGACCCCAGCTGGGAGACCCTGAATTCCTCCAACATCGCAGGTGCAAAGGCTCGGATGCCCCCCTCCCTCCCTCTGCCACAACTTCAGGTGACAGCTGATGTGGATTACGGCTGCCGCAGGTAGAGAAGCCCGAGGTGACCTGGCCGACATGCCAAACTATATGACCCAGTGGATTTTTATGGTATGAATTAGGGCTGCCCCAGGGAGAGAAGCCCAGGGCATCCTCACCTACATGCCGATCTATATGACCAGATTCGTATCTAAAGTTATATGACCACACAATAACCTGACCCCATCTGCACTGAAATCATTTAATGACTTTTTACATCATCTTTTCTTTTTCCAGTAAAAATAAGTCACGTACTCGTGCCTTATAAATTTAGCCCTAACCCTCAACTCAGAGCAGCAGCAGGAGCTCTGACTGCCCATGGGTCCTGTCCCCATGCAGCAGCTCTTTACTGCCCGTGGGTCCTGTCCCCATTCTATTCCGTACTATTCTCTAAATAAAAGAGCACCACTGCCAGACCTTGAGAGTCCAAGAAATCTTTCTTTCGACTCTTCGGCTCGCCGTCCCCGCATCAATGGCCACACCCGCAGGCCGCCAGGCCAGCTGCCCAGAGGAAGGGGGATCCCAGCCAGTGCCCGCAGCTGAGAGGCTGTGCCCATGGCGACGGTCAAATGAGGGGCAGGGCTTCCTCCCCACCTGGCCTCAGGTTTCTGCCCTGGGGAGGGGGAGAATTCCAGAAGAGCTCCATTGACGTGTCTGATTGGGCGGGGCCTCCAGTTTCTGGGACAATGGCCAGCTCTTTGCAGGACCGAGGTTGACAAACCAGCTGATTGTCCCCAGCCTGTTTGTATTCTATCTCCATGGCTTCTCGGTAAATGTGGGGGGATGTGATTTCACGGGGTGGCCTGTTGTCCACTGGGGCAGGAAGGAGAGAGACCATCAGACGCTCCCACCTTCCTGGCTGTGTGACCTTAGGCAGGTTCCTTCACCTCTGTAGGTGTGCTTCCTCTCCTGTAGCTGGGAGGAATCCTTAAGGGCACAGCCCTACACAGCGCCTGGCATACAGCAAGTGCTGCATAAATGCATACATGCTAGCCCTGTACTTCCTCCTTGCTCTTTCCCCAATTGTTTCTCTGTTTTTTCTTCTCATCAAGCTTTGAGCACATTCACAGCACTCATTGGCAAAAAAAGGTCCACTCTCCCACACAACCACAGCCCCCCATCTCATCCAGGTGGGTGCGAGCAGGGCTTCCCTCGTCAGAGGTGAGGGGACTGAGGCACATGGGGCTGTGTCAGGTGGCTGCTATAGGGGCTGGAGGGTGCAGTTGGAATTCACACAGCCCTGGGTTCAAATCCTGACTACTTCGCCAGCGGGTACCTCGGGCAAAGGGTTTTCACTGTGCGGAGCCTCAGTCTGTCCGTCTGTGAAAAGGGCTGGAGAAGACGCACCTCTCTGCGGCGTGGAGAGGCTGCTGTGAGCGGCCGACGCTGGGCCTGCAGGAACCCACCCCACGTGGCGGTTTCAGCCGCATCCCTAACTGAGAACGACTCCAGGCCCCCAAGTACCGGACACCAGCCCCAGCCAAGCTCTGGAGCTGGGAAGCCCCCAGCTGGGCTGAGAGGGTGCCCATGACGAGAAAGAGAGAAGAGAGTGGGGCTAGGATAGCACGGGGCGTGGGGAGGGAGAGGAAAGAAGTTTCTGCCCGGGCGTGTGGGGGACGCCCACAGTCTTCTGGACTCAGTAGTTCCCATCTGTAAAATGGAGCCAAGGAAATGGGGACAGTAATGCCAACCTCGCAAGATGACCGGGACAGAAGATGTTGAGTAGTGTGAGGGAGAGCGTTGGCAAACATGAGCGCATTCAGGAGGGGTGTTGAGTTAGTCTGGGTGGGGGGAGCATGGTGGGGACTGTTTGCTGAGCAGTGACTGTGTTCCAGGCCTGCCCAGCCCTCACCGGCACCATCGAATTGACTCCTCCCAATCATGCGAGGCCGGGGTGCTTCCCCTCCCCGTTTTATAGATGAAGAAGTGAGGCTCAGAGAAGCAGGGTCACCTGCCCGAGGTCACACAGCTTAGAAATGTGATAGAGCCACACCCTGATCTTTTGATTCCAGAGACCATGTTCTTTTTTAAAAATCTTTTTTAGCAGCTTAAATGGAATATAATTCACATACCATACAATTCACCCATTTACAGGATACTATTCAATGGTTTTTAGTTTATTCACAGATGTGCGCAACCATTACCACCAGCAATTTGAGAACATTTTCATCGCCCTAAAAAGAAACCCTACACCCTCCAAACCCCACCTCCCCAGTCCTGGGCACCTATTAACCGGCTCTCTGTCCCTATAGATTTGCCTCTCCTGGGACATTTCATAGAAATAGAATCATATGATATGTGGCTTTTGAGGTCTGCCTTTTTTCACTTTGCGTAATATTTTCAAAGGTCCACCCATTTTGCAGCAGATGTCAGTACTTCCTTGTTTTTATTGCCGAATAATATTCCACTGTATAAACATACCCCATTTTACTGATTCATTCATGACTGAGTTGTTTCTACTTTTTGGCTATTGTGAATAACGCTGCTCTGAACATTTACGCACACGCTTTTGTGTATTTGTCTGTTTTCCTCTCTCGGCTTCATCCTCAGGAGCAGACTTGCTGGGTTCTATGGGAACTCTATATTTAACATCATGAGGAGCTGCCAAATTGTTTTCCAAAGCGCCACACTGTTTTACATTCCCCCCCGCGGTGCTTGGTGACAGTTCCAGTTTCTCCACATCCTTGCTAACACTCGTGACAGTGTGTCTGTTTGAGACTGTCTTCTCACTGGCTACGCTCCACTCTAGAGTCTGCCGGGCTTGGATTCCAGTCCTACCAGCAGTGGGATCCCAGGCTGGTGGCCTCTCTCTGTCCTTTTATAGAAAATGATGTAAGAATCTCTCCTTTCCAGGCTGTCAGGGGATGAGCTGGGTTGGTGGCAGCATCAGGGCTATACCAACTGTAAAGGGAAGAGCACACGGCTTGTTTTTATAACTGGGTGCCTGGGGGGTGGGGACAGGTGCACCAAAGTCCCTCAGGTGCCAACGTATCTGCCTTACCCATCTCTCCCCAGCGCCTGGCACTGAACCCGGCATACAGTAGGCGCTTACTAAGAGCAGACCCTCGGTGCTGCCCGGGAACCTCCCTTGGTGGAAGTGGCCGTGTCCCCCTGGGGAAAAGGGCTGGGCCCACCTGTAGCCCCCACTGGACTCTCAGCCTGTGCTAAGGGCCTTGGAATCTTTTCCTTCCCTAAGAGGAAAAATTCTTTCCGTCTGTCAAGAGTCTCTTGTCCTTCCAGCGCAGAGGCTGGAGAGGTTCACCAGCAAGAAAAACAATAAAATAATGGCAGCCACATCCCAGCAGTGGCCCTTGTTCATATTTAGTAAAACCAGCGAGTGTTTGCTGGGTGCCCTGGGCTCCGTGCCCAACCTTCTCGTCCTACTCACCCCTTCCAGGCAAGGCAGCCCTTCAGGCTTTCAATCAACCAGTATTTTTCCCCATTTGTTTTTTTATTGGGGTAAAATACACATAAGCAGCTCTGCCCTCTTAAACCGATTTTAAGTGGACAGTTCAGTGGCATTCACACTGTTGTGCAACCATCCCCACCATCAGGCCCCACAACTCCTCCTCTTGAAAAAGGAAACTCTGCACCCATTAAACACTCACTCTATTCCCCCATCCTTCCAGCCCCACCAAGCAGGATGTTTTGTTTTTTTTTTGAGGAAGATTAGCCCTGAGCAAACATCTGCCACCAATCCTCCTCTTTTTGCTGAGGAAGACTGGCCCTGAGCTAACATCCGTGCCCATCTTCCTCTGCTCTATATGTGGGACGCCTACCACAGCCTGGCTTGGCAAGCGGTGCCATGTCCACACCTGGGATCTGAACAGGCAAACCCCGGGCCGCCGAAGCGGAATGTGTGAACTTAACTGCTGCACCACCAGGCCGGCCCCAAGCAGGATGTTTTTAAGCACCTACTAAGTGCTGGGAGCTGGTCCTACAGCTGCAAACAAGACAGACAGACACAGTCCTGGCTTCGTGGAAACTGATACCAGTTTTTTGATTGAGGACATTGAGGTGCTAAGAGGAAGGTGCTCCTGCTCACGGCTCCCACCTGATCAGACGCAGGGCAGAGCTGGAGCCCAGGCGTCTGGAGTAGAGGCCAAAATCCAGCCTCCAGGCCCCCGATGAGTCACTTCCTTGCATGGGGGTGTCCACGGCCCTGTCTGTGAAATGGGGTCAGGAGGGAGTTGGTCAGCTATCTGATGCTGAGGGCTCACGCCCCTTCTTGACTTTGGAGCAGAGCAAGCACCAGCCCCGGCCCCATCTCCTCCGGCCCCCTCCATCAGCCTCCTGCTGGCCTGGGTCCTCCTCGTCATCTTCTTGTCATCTGAGAAGGGCCTTCCCACAGCAATGGGCCCCAGACTAGGGTTGCCCGTTGCTCCTGCTTCCCGTCCTGCCTCCACCACAGCCCCAGCCCGGGAAGACCTCCAGCAGTAGGCTTTGTCAGAGAGGCCGAAGGGACGACTGTTTACATTCCTTGCCACAGCCAGATAGCCGCCTGTTTGCTGTTTGAGATTCTGGAAACACAGAGGGACGAGGTTCTCTTCCCCACCCCCTCCTGGAGGGAGCAGCTTTTGGAGAGGCCACACTCCTCTCCAGGCCTCAGCTTCCCATCTGCAAAGTGGGCACAGGGATCCCTACCTCACAGCCTGGTGGGGAGGAAGCTTACTTGCCATCCCCCCTCTAACAGGTGCTTGGCGAGTTCATTATTAGGGTTTATTTTTTCATAAATGTTTCCCACTGGTGGTTTGAACACATCCCTTCTGTTGAGGTCCTTTCTCTCCAACAATTCTAAATTCCACTTTCTAGCTACTGAGCCAACACCTCATGGGAGCTATTTCAACCTGCAAGCTGGTAGCTGGGGTGGGAGGGACCTACCCCACTGTCTTACCAACCGGGGAGTCAGCTCAATTTAGTAAAAACAATGATAAAAATGGCTAAAAACGTTTCTTGGGCTCTGCACGGTGCTCCCAGCGTCTTCACGGTGACTGTGAGATGGGGACCTATCTACACGCCTCTCAGTAGGGACACTGAGGCACAGAGGTGAAGGGCCACTACGCTTCCAATCAGTCCCGACAGAAGTGAGCTGCCCGTCCTGCGGGGGTATTCAAGTGGCTGGAGTGGAAGATGAGACTACAGGTGGGGTCGCGTCTCAGTGCCAGGCCGTGTGCTAAGCGCTGGATAAAGAGAGAAAGAGAAGGATGGGCCCTGTCTGTAGCACCAGGACCTCCCCTATTGGACATGGAGCGCCTGGGGGCCTGACCCCCAGCAGAGCAGTCTCGGAATTGTCTGCTGAACAAATGAATGAATGAATGAGCCAACGCGTAGAGGAACCAGCCAGAGCCACCCGTTCTCAGATGAGGACGCGGTCCCAGGCCGGGGAAATCAGGACCCCGAAATCTCAGGATTCCATCCAGAGCCCTCTCTCCGGGAATCGTGACGCCCATGGTCCAGGTGAGGAAACTGAGGCCCCCCCCCGGCCCGCGGAGGCGGCGATCGCGGGGCGGGGCGGGGCGGGGGCCGGCGGGGCGGGGGCGGCCGGGCGGCGCGGTGGCTGGAACCTGAGCCGGGAGGAGGGGCGCGGGCGGGGGCGCGGGGCGGCTGGCGGCCGGGATTCAGGAAGCGCTGCGCTCCCGGCCGCCGGCGCCGCGCTGTCCCGGAGGTGAGTGGGGCCTGGGCCCTCGGGACGGGGACCCCGGGAGGGACGGTCCAGCCGAGGTCCCCTCGCGCCCCTGGGGACGTCTCGGAGGCTCCGAATCCCGGCCCCGGGCGCGGCAGGCGCGGGGCCCCGCTGGGTGCCCTTGGGCCGAGGACCACCTCTCTGGGCTTCAGTTTGATCGCCTGTGAAATGGGCGCCACCCTGGGCCCTGGGGGTGCGGGTCTGCGGGGGGCATCCCCGAGCCCCAAGCCCAGGAACCAGAGACGAGGCGGCCCTGCAGCCCGCGCTGGGGGCATCCCCATTTTGGGGGCTTGGAAGCGGGAGTTGGGGGGCCTGAGGTTAGCCCTCCGCCTCTAAGCAAGCAGCAGGAACTGGTGAGTCTGGAACTTCCAAAGGCCGCTAATTAGTTACTGAGTCCTAGAGAGGACTCTTCCCCTGGGGGCAGGGAAATCTTTAACCTCCTGCCCTGCCTGGGAGACTCCTGGGAGGTCCCTGAGGACAGGGAGAGACTCCCACACTCTCCACTTGCCTGGAGATACCACCCACAGACACGTGGATTGAGCCACCCACCACCCCTCTTGGCCCAGCCCCAGCCGGTTGCTCCGTCCGTCCTCCCCACTTTGTAGTTGGGGAAACTGAGGCTCAGGTTGGGGTTTTAGCCAAGTGGAATTTAAGCCCAGGGCTGTCTGGCCCCAAAGCCCTCAGGGCCTGGTGCACAGGGGGTGTCCTGGGAGCTGCCGGGGCAGGGGTGGGCCTGTCGCTGCTCCGGTCAGCCTCTAAAACAAGGGCCTCTGCTGGGGGTGGCGGTGGGGGTGGGGCTGCGATGATGGGGGTGGGGGCGCGATGGCGAGTGTGGGCTTTGTTCTCCATGCTAAGAACCACTGAGGATTTAAGCTTTGCCACTTTATTTCTGGGGCGAGGACACGGGTCACTCGGGGACTGCCCTGGAGGAAGGTTAAGAGCTGGCCTCTTTAGAGAGGTCAGGGGGAAGGGGCAGCCCCCCCCCCCCGCATCTGCCAGGTTAAAAGTGGGGTCCGTGTGGGGGCTGTGTGGGCGGAACCAGCTGTAAAATGGGACTGCCGGAGGGTGACCCCGGGTGAGGACAGACGGCCTGGCTCAGAGCTCAGTGAGTGCCAGCCCTTTATCCTGCTTGAGCTGGTAATTTTTGCCCCAAACATCTTGTTAATGGAAGGGCTGAAGAAAGGTAATTGGCCACTTCCACATTTCTCTTGTTTATTCTGTTGGGATAACCGTGGGAACCAGAACGGCTGGGGACCCCCTTTTCCTCCCCTTATTGGTATGTTAGAGTGGGGAATGGCAGCTGGTGGTCATGAGCCAGTCAGGTACCCATTTGTAAAACCAGGGCGGGTCGTTCTGAAATGGAGTCTCCCAGGCTCATGGACGGGGTGCCTGGGAGCGAAGGGTGAGAGCGAGCCAGGAAGGTGCCCGGATGCCCCGGGCGAAATCCGGAGCCGCCACCTTGCATCCGGGTGAGGGGCTGTGGACACTCCTCTGGCCTCACGTGGTGTGAGCTGGGCCTCAGCCATTTCCTCCTTTGCTAAGCAGACCGCCCTGGAAAGCCCACCTGTGCCAGCCCTGGGCTGGGCACTGACACGCACCTGGAGCCCAGCCAGCTCCAGCCCGAGGGGCGTAAACTGAGTGGTCCAAGGGAGACAGTGAGATGGGAGGAAGGGCTGACCCCTGACTGCTGCCCCCCTGATGCTGGCATTGCCCCTCATGCCAGCCGTGGCCTCCAGGCGGGCAGCACCCTCACCTGACCCTGTGGGCACCCAGAAAGGTGAGCACATGTGATAGATACTTGACAGATGTATGCTGTTGAATGAATGGGGGTCAGGAGAGAATGCTGAAGGGTGGGAGAGCAGATAGGGAAGGGATCAGGGAGGGCTTGATCAAGGTGGCGTTAGAGCCACACCTTGAAGAATAAACGCGGATGTTGGGGAAAAAGCATGCAGGTAAAGACCTGACTTTCACCTGTTGCCAGGTGGGTAAACCTGGGGCTTGTAGAGCCAAGAAATTGTTCCATTTGTCTGGAGTGTGTGACGGGAACAAGAAGGGCTAAGGATCAGACAGGCAGGGGCTAGATCAGACCAGAAGCCCTAAAAGTCCAAGCTAGGAGGGATGTGCCGGACGTGTGGTCTGGAAAGGTCCCTCTGGCTGCAGAGTGGGGGCCAGGCTCCCCAGGCCGAGGAAGTGGTCCATGCAAGAGATGTAAGGCCCTGGGTGGGGGGAGTGGAGAGGGGCGGCTGGAGGAAGATGGAGGAGGGAGAGAAACACAGGAGACGTGACCTCGCTGCCTGGTGCTCCGTAAATCTCTATTGCACGACCGAGTGACTGAACACATCATTTTGAGAGGGCTGAGTCCTTCCAGCTCCTTCATTCCTACGCCCCATAGGCCCCCAACCTGCTGTTTGCCTCAGTTTCCCCCATTTGGCTGTTGGAAAGACACTCCAGGCCCCTTCCTAAATCACAGGGACCCGGGAAGCGGCTCCTTTTCTTGTCGTACTCAGGATCCAGGGAGCCGAGAGGACATTTCATGCCGGCGGGCCCTCCGGAATGCCCCGCGTCAACGGTTTGGAGTGGAATTTACCTGTTAAACATTAATTCAGATCTCTTGAGATACTTGTCGTCCTGGGCCCCGCAGCTGCCGCTCTGAACACTGGGTGTGCTGTTCTGTCTGGCTTCATCCAGGCTTGGCTGCATTAGTAGTCATTATGATGGTAGCAAGCATTTATTGAGCACTTACTGTGTGCCAGGCACTGAGCCAAACACTGTTAGTACAATTGGATACAAAATGACGATTGTGCCCATTTTTGTGAGGGAGGAACTGAGGTCTGGGTAGTGAAGTCCCCTGCCCAGGGTCTCTTCGCTGGGGAGGGCAGCGCTGGGATCTGCTCTCCCTTTGTCTGATTCCCAAATCCATGCCCTTACCTTCCAAGCTGGCCTGTCCCATTCTTCTGGACCCTGAGCCACAGGGAAGCTACTCTGCAGTTCAGAGAGGAGAAGCTGAGTTGCTCAGACAGACCCGGTCTTCAATCCTAGGCCTGCTGCTCTGGTACCAGGGAAGCTCGGGCAAGTCACCTGGGCGTCTCTGAGCCTCAGTTTCCTTATCTGGCAAATGGGTGTCAAATGGCTCTCAGTTCCTGCTTTGCAGGGACCGTCCAAGGCACACAGATGGGGCTCCGAAGCACCATCTTCTTCCTCACCCCGTTCCCCGGCCTGTTCCAGGGCGTGTTTTCCTCCCGCGCATGCCTGGGCGCCCTCGGAGAGCCCCTCCGTGCCAGGCGGGTGGGCGGGCGGAAGGGGGCAAGGGCAGATCCATACTTGCGTTTGGACCGAGGAGCTGTGTTTCAGCCGTGGAACATTCACGGGCCTCGACTGAGCGCCAGGAGCCCTCAGTGTTTCCTACTTGGGTGACTTACTGCTTAAAAACCAGCGCCAGAGCCTGCCCACTGGGTTCGGATCCCGGCTCCCCGTGAGTTCCCTCACTCCCTTGGGCCTCGGTTTCCTTGTCTATAAAATGGGATGATGATGGCGCCTGCTTCGTGGGTGGGTGTGGACTGTCTCTGGCCCAACAGGGACTGTTTAGCTTGTAACCAACGTCTGTCACCCGATGTTCACTTCGATGGTGTCACGGCCTCACCCCCACTGGAGTTGGATGGGGACCGGAAGGCTGAGTCCCATTTTACAGCTGAGGAAACTGAGGCTCAGAGAGAGAAGCGGTTTACCTGGGGCTCATGGTAGACCTGGACCTGGAAGCCAGATGCGAGTGACTCTGGTCCCCTTGGGTCCCTGAAAAGCCCAGTGGCCAGCTCAGCTTCCTTCCTGGAAAGCCACCTTGGACTCACCTCTGTTGGAGTCTGACCCACCTCGTTCAGGTCCCAGCTCTGCCACTTGCTGCTGTGTGACCTCAGGAAGTGGCTTAACTTCTCTATTCCTGGGGCTGCCACCTGGGGTTTGCTGGAAGTCAGAGCTCTGGCAGCTTGAGGGGGATTCGGGTTATTCTGGCTGCCACTCCTGCCCTAGCCTGGATGCCCCCTGCCTTAGGTGTCCTTGTGTCCTGTGAGCTGGCACCCTGGAATGAGGAAGGGAGGCCAGGACCTCCCTTTCACTGTGACTATGATTTCCTTCTTGCCTCTGCACCCCTTCCTGATCATTGTCTTCCGCTTTCCACCCTGAGCCCTGGCTGCTGCTGGCTGTGTGGCCTCAGGGAGGTCACCCCACCTCTCTGAGCAGATTTCCTCATCGGTGAGGGAGGGTCACAGAGACTGTGCCAGGGGCGTAGAGAGCCCTCCATGAATTCTAGTAGGTCTGCCCCAGATGAGGTCAGAGGGTGGGAAAGACCACAGAAGGAGGTGGGGGCCCCAGGGGCAGACAGGCGGGCCATTTACCAAATGGGAATACTCTTATTTTTCTTGGGGTGGTGAGTAATGCCCCCCCCCCGCAACCCCCCTGCCCGCCCCTGCACAAAGGGCCTCAGTCTCACAGGGGCCTGTTTTTCCCCGAGGGTGGAGTGGCCTGGGTTCCACCCGGCTGACCAGGAGAGCTGGCCACCTTCTGGGACAGCTCCTCGTGGGGGGGTGTGTGGGGGGGTGTGTTTATGGGGGGGGGCCTCTTCCAACACATGCCCTGGGTGCGCCCCACGAGCTCAGGGGAGACCCCAGCGGGCAAGGGGCCGACTGCCCTCAGGTGGGGACGTGTTGGCCTGGTTCCCTTCTGTCTCCCCTTAGCACAGAGGAGGGGCCCGGAATACGTGCAGACGGAGGGAAGGAAGGAAGGAAGGAGTGAACAGACCCATCACGGAGGCAGGGGCATCGGGAGAAACCGCCTGCTCGGACCGAGTGGCCTTGGGCGAGTGCCCTGGCCTCACTGAGCCTCTGTGTCCTCAGCCATAGGATGGACCCATGGAGGCTCTTGCCCTCACAGGGGATCTCGAGGCATTCGGTGCTCCGTTAGTTATCCGTTAAAGGGTGGGAGGGGGGCAG